CCCGCCGCCCATTTTCCTCCTCGTCCCCAAATATGCCTTGTTTTTATTTTTAGGCTCTCCAGCTTCCCAAGGTGAAATAACAGGCATTTTTTTTTTCTGGGTCTCTTGCTGGAATACACGATGCCGTAACAAAACGGGGAACATAGGAGAGTTGGGGGGAAGAGGAATCCTCACTTTAAGACCCTGAGCGTTGGCAAATTGGATGTTGCTAAGAGGCTGTGGCGCACGTCCTGTGGGTACAGAGCCGGGTGAGGTTTATATTACTCAGATTTGGGGGCCCTCTCTACTTGGTAGGAATTGGCAGTCTGCGTGAACAGATCCATTGTGAATTCTTCCTTCAGAATTGGCGTCCTAGCCCTGGCGGGCTTTTCCTCAGCCAGGAGCTCTGGCTATCACCTTGCCTTTCGGAAACCATGCAGCGTGCATGAAAATTCAGTGTTTGCTGGAGGGAAAGATAACAGGAGTGAAAATGCCCCCTGCCCTTTGTTTGAAGTATAAGACCGTGGGAATGGGGCCGGGCTGGTTCCTTCAGCAAGCTTGTGCTCAGAGGCTGTTCCTTCTACCAGCCTAAGGAAATGAACGGCAGGAAAGTACTTGTTTCTCCTACAAATACATTCCCTGCATCACAGAAGGAGAAGTTGACTTCAGACTATAGTCTTTTTATTTCCTTTTTTTTTTTTTCTGTCACCGACTAGAAAACTTCCTTCTTTTCAAGTCGGTACAGTTAGGAAAGTGTCGGCTTCTGGCTCAGACAGGGGCCTGGCAGGGACAGGAGGAGGGCAGAGCAGTGTTTTCACGTGCAGTGCTAGCTGGGTGATCTTTTTATAGGTTTCCTCAGCCCATCTGGAGATGGATGGTGGTGATGGTTGCACAACAGTATGTATACACTTAATACCATTGAACTGTCCACTTAAAAATGGTTAAGGTCGTAAATTTTATGGTACATGTATCTTACCACAATTTTCAAAAATTGGAAACAAAAAACCCAAAAACTTCTTAAAAGAAAGAGAAAAGGAATTGCCAAGTCCAAATAAAATGCTTTGCCTATTTAAAAACCAGTATAGGTCCATCAAGGAATTATCCATGAGGCCAGGAAATGAAGTCGTATCTGTGGATTTTAAAAGGGAAAATTCACTGTAAACGTATGGATTTGACAGTAGTATCTTCACTGATGTTACAGGAGGCAACAGGATATGTTTCTACATTAGAAGCATATGGCAGTCAACACGTGTACTGGGAAAATGACTCTTTTGGGCAGTAGTAGAAGTAAAGATTTGAAACTAGTTTGTTTCGGAAATACAGCTTCAATTAATGCATCATCGGGTTGATCTGCTTTCATATTCCATGGGATCTTCCCTGTTGACAGAACAGATTGATCTTTATGACCTCCGCAAGGCCAGCTCTGCCCTGGCAGTGAGTCAGCAGACTCCCCGAAGGAACCTGAGACATTGTCCACATCTCTCCTTTTTCAGATGAGAAAACTGAAACCCAGATAGGCAGAGTGAATATTTCCTACATTCTGCAATTATATTTATGTCAGAACTAGACATCGGGCCCAAGTTCCCTATGTTCCAAGCCAGCATTTCCTTCTGCTAAACCATCTGAGTAGAAGTAAATGGCTTTAACCAGTTCAAATATTAGACTGAACGAAGAAAGTGTTAGCGTGATCCTATATATGGATTTTAGGTTATAATAGGATATGTGGATAAATGAACACTCCTTCA